GTTCCACTTCTGCAATGTAACATATTTTATTTCTATGCAAAAATATTGTGTACTTGATATCATCGCTATCAGACGAGGCGGTGAAAGGAGGCATGGTATGATCTCATCCTTGGCTTTTCTACCATTGGTTCTTTTCTCCCTGACGACCACCATCCGAACATTATTTATAGAAGAGGCGGAATGGGTGGGATTCCTCATTCCACCCCTCCTGACACCGCCGCGACTGATATCATATCGAAGACAGTCCCGCGCTCGCGCAACTCGCAGACGTCCTTCCTTGTACAAGTAGTCTGGTTCTCAGGCTTTAAGCTTATCCCAAATCGCGCCTTCATAGTTAGTAGCAAAGCCGCTGTGTCCCTTGTAAATAGGAGTTTTGATTCCTCCACAGTTGTCCCGCTTACCAAAACTCAATGGCTAATTTCGGTCACGAGTTCAGTTTTTACAGTTTTTTTTACTGTTAAATGGTGCTGGTATTGGATGACGCAAGAAACGATTATTGAGCCGGAAGCGGCAGGATATCGCTTTGCAGGCATAAAACAAGGAGATACGGATCTCGTCCAGATATGTTGCCAAGTCCTAAGTAGGGTGTTCTCCCCCTTGGTTTTTTTCGCCTTTTTTTTCCTGAAAGTTAGTTAGCGACAATAGGTTTGTTAGCGAACGCCACTACCCACAATATCCGGGGTTCGTCTTCAAGTATACTTTTAAGATACATTCCACGATATCGCGAGAACAGAACCATCACCTAGCTCATTCAAGACCTACTTCTAAAACAGCGTTCAGACTTCCGATGGCAGCGCTTTGGTCGTGCGTCCAACGCGATCGATGCAGTCGAAAGCATGCGCATCGATCGCGTTGAACGCAAGACCGAAGCACCACATCGCAAAGTCTAGACGCTGCCCAAGGCAGTAGACGGGTGGTACTAGTAGGGTGGTTCTGTGACTCCACTCTTACGACTGTAGGGAATGTGCGTTAAAGCAATTCAGAACTTGGACTTTTCTAGAAGTGAGGAACCAGAACGCCCACCGCTTACAGAGCTGGAAAATTGCCTGGACAATGCGAGTGTGATATTGAGGAAGTTCTCCGTCCATATGATCAAAGTGAAATATGAACATTGAACAAAACATGTGCTTTTCTTGAAGTGAGGAGCCAGGAGCCGCATCCCTTTTATAAGTGGAAAATTGTCTGGAAAAATTTACTGCACGGCGAAGCGATGCAGTTATTCACCCCCTCCTCCTTTGTCTAACCAACAACTCGAAGTCGCTGTTCCAAATCACTGCGGGTTACGTGCGTGACGCCAGCCCGCTTCTGTCCATTTTCTTCTTTCAACAAACAATAAGACTGTATCGCCTCGTTTGTATCAATTGTTTTCCACCAATTGTAGCCGCTTACCCGCTTCCACAACTGGTGAGGAAGGGGCTGGCAGCCCGCCAAACACAGATCGCTATCGCGCCCGGTTCGCAGCGAACAGGACGTATGTGCATATTCACTGACTCGGATGAGAAGGAACGCATTTCCACTACAAATATTTCCAGAATCGGCGAAAGGTAAATTACAGCTGCAGACTAGAAACGGACTTGCTGCGAGCGTACAGAGGACGAAATTTCAAACCACTGAAACAATACCATAATCAGGTTGTTGAGCCTTCCTGCGTGTCTTCCCAATGTCATCAGTTGGATAGGGCAAAGTTCGATATTCTTTATTCAAGGCCCTCGTCAGTGCGGCTTTGACCTGGAACCAATGGGATAGATAATAAGATAACAAAGAATTTAATTGTGTTCAAAATGGTTAGATCTATCCAGTGTCGTCGCAAGGTTGTTCCCCGCCGCCACATTACTGTGACGCCCCTACTGCGCAAATGTATGGCCAAATGTCAACCTCACCTTCGGAAGAATTTTGCTGGCTGGATCAATTTTCCCTGGCCATACTGCCAACTCTGACACAGCCTCAGCATCTTCTCGTATCAAATCATAATCATTCATGGTGCATACCACCTCGCTGTAATGTTTTACAAATACTTCCAGAATCATATCACTGCGTCTCAACATACAACAACTGCGATGAATATGCAGCTCACACTGAGTA